GGAAGTTGAAGAATGAGTGTGCAGTAGTGAGAGGCTCTCCTTTAATTCATCAGTTGCTCTGTCGTTAATTAAGCATGTTGTTTGCCTGTGTCAGGAGCACAGAGCATTGGAATCCTTGGAGGAAAGAGACCAAGTATGTTTTGTTAGTGATGAATTCCTATCACCTCACACAATGGTTGGGATCCTTTTTTTTTTTTTTTGAATGAATGCATTTTATGCAAGCATGAATGAATGAGAAACTTCTGCTAGCCATGAAGGCTGCTCTTCCGAAGACCTAACAGTAAAGCTGGAGGTGAGGAGTCCAAGGGATGGTATTGAACATTTTGTTTCCTTAATTTCCTTTTAAAAACTCTGCATGGGTTCAGTTAGGGAGTACAAAGGACTGATGTGGGATTGGCAGCAGACCAGGAAGAGGACACAGCTGGAGTAAAGCTGCTGAAGTCGCTGAGAAAGATCGTAGGGTGGGGGTGATGGGACGCTTAGCCAGTTCAAGTGGAGCATGTGGGTTGTGAGCATGACCGGAAGTGCAGGTAAAACTGAGCGGGGCGGAGTGTCCTTACAACGTGAAGCTCAAGAAGGCAGGCGGGCTGCAAGCTCCGAATGCCTTTGCTGTTCCCTGCTGGGAACCCAGCACATGTCACAGTGCCTGATACCGAAGCACATGTGCAGTCTTTCTCGTGTGAATGAATGAATGAACTAATGAACAAGAACCAAGGGGATAGGCTGAGAGCTTTTCTGGGTTCCAGGAGAGACCAGGTCAGTGTTTTGGGGAGTTGATGTCTGATATACAGGACGGGACATACCAGAAAGCTTGATGTTTGTGGCAGTCCTGACCTGAATCCATCGCCCAGCAAGGACTCTAGTAAACGGGGCTAAAGCAAAGGGGCCGTGTACATCAGGACAGAGAATCTTCTGCGCGTGTGAGGACCTGCACGTGAGGACATGGCCTTCTGCACGTGTGAGGAGCTGCCCGTGAGGACCCGAAGAGCTCAGAGCACTAGGATCTGGGAGTTGAGAGGAAAGGGGGAGGGTAATGTCGGACTGATACCCACCTGCCCTGTTGAGTTTCAGGTGGTGACGGTGTCGGTACGGCCTGCACCTGAGGGCAAAGATGCACGACCCGGGAGCCAGGCAGCAACAGATGGTGATGGAGACTGTACGAGCAGATGCTCATTTAAGGCATTAAGTACGGAGGACAGACACAGGAGGCAACAGGTAAAGGACATGCTGTAAACCATCATTTAGAAGATGGAAGTTTCAAAAGAGTTTAATGCAAACCCAAGAGAGCTACAAGGAGAAGAAATGACCCACAGTGTTGCAAGCACTTCACAATGAAAGAAAACTGAATCTATTCATTGCAATTGGTCAAGAAAGAACTGGAATGTCCTAAGGAAAGAGTATGCCGATGGAAGTAAAAATTTATCACAGAATACGAAACTGGATTTTAACCATTTAAAAGGGAGCAATGAACCAAAATATCTTTTCTCTTGGAGTTGCCATTAGCTGTTTCCAGGCAAAAGATTTATCAGTGAATGTATTGTAACTGTGCAGCCTTTCCCCACTATTGAACTATTTAAATACCACTTTTAATAAGGGTGAAAAAGCTACTGGAAGCCTTGCTTTTTAAATTTAGTGCACTGCCTAATGAAGGACACTTCTGTAAACAGAAAAAAAAATATATTGGGTTATAAATACATCATAGTGATAAGGCTAAGATACACAAAAGCAATTTCCTATCAAAATAGTCAGCTTACCTAGGATACTTAAATATCCCTGCTGGTCTTTATCAGGGGAATAATAGGTTTGCTGTACTTAGTTATATTGATTCAACGTGAATGAATGTAAAATCATATTTCTGTGTAGAAAGGAAAATTTTTATAATCAACTGCCTCAAATTAATTTTGAACTCTTCATGTATTTGTAGTTTGCATTTATTTTACTAGGTTGCTTTACATAATATTTGATATTATAAAATCAGTCAAGATTTCAGTGATTCTGGAGCTAGTGAGTTTTAATGTATATTTGTGGATTAACCAGGTTCCATGGGAGTTTGAACAGATGGTTTTCTTGGGCACTGTTTAATTTGGTGGCATTTTTGCAGTAGGTAAAATTAGGCATCTTTGCAGTAGGTAAAATTAGGCAATTAATATCATTCATCATGCACGGTTTGGGTGGGTCAAAAATTGCTAGCATAGAGATTTAAAAAAAAATAATTCTGGATGTCTACTTCTTTAGATAAACAAATCCATAATCAAAAATCGGCTTTGCTTCAGATGGGATATTTATAATAAAAGGTGCATGGAATTCATATATGAAGGTATCACATTCATACATCAAAAATTTTTCGGACTGTAAATTATGGCCAGATCATAAGAGCAGTAAATGGTCATTCATAAGTCTCCACTGGCTCAGTGAAAAAGGTATTATGGTTGGTGGCCAGGTCTATAAAATTTTCTTGTATCATTTTTGAACAACCTTGTACAACCACACTTTATTTCCTTTGTGTTGGATAGTCTTGAAGGATTTCTAAAAGATTCTGTATCCTGTTTTTGGGTACATAGGAGACTGTCATTCAAAAAGCATCCCAAATTGAGGCCGCCAGATGTTTCCCTCCATAGTAAATCAGAGAATAAGCATAGTTTGAATATTCTGCATAAATTTACATATCGATGTCAAGAGTCCCTAACTCCAATTATGTAAAATAAAATGAATTAGTGCAGCCTACTGCAAAGCCCATATTCAAATCCAGCATTCAGGGCAAGATAGCCTGGAAGTACCTAGCACATCTTAAAGCCAATTAGCTCAATTTCTTCTGGGAATAGGAGGGCTGGGCAAACACACCTACCTGGGCACATCAAGGAGATCCCGGACATAGAAGGAGGCACTCAGACAGAGAATCAAAGTCAAAGCTGATCTGTCCTGAGCTCTGTGGTTTGTGCTCTTTCCCAGTGAAAATTGCAACTGCATTTATTTACAGATCCTGCAAACACATTCTTGTTTTTCTCATGCTCCTGCGAGAACTGAGTGGTCCTCATTGTCCTTTGGTTAGAGTTCCGTGTCTAGCCCCAAGGAGCAGCCGAGAGGACAGCCAGCACACCTTCCTGGTGGTAAAACCACTGCGTTTTCCTGACTTGGCATTTACAGTGCTATGCGCCGCCTGGACCTTTCCCCTCCCTTTACTGGCCTTGCGCGATTCTGATCAGTCCCCAGTATCAGTTTGGTCCACTACACACGCTTAGGCTCTGTAGTCGAGGGAGCTTCTTCTGCATTTCAAGTTTGGGTGGGTAGCCTTGGTCGAGTTATTAATCACCCTGAGGCTGGAATTTCTCATGGGGGCGTGAAAAGACGAGATGTTTTCCTGTCTAGTGTCCATTATAAAGATTAAGTAAAATATCGTTGCTAAGCGTCCAAAAGATAGTATATAGCCAAAAAAAAAAAAAAAATCCACTAGCTTTGCTCCTTTCCTTTGAGACTCAGTCCAGGTGTTCATCAAATAAGTCTGTCTATGGACTCAGGGTAGCCAGGTGCTGCCTACCTTTGGGTCTCTGTTCTGTTGCACTTGTTTGCTATTTGTGTCCTGAGGGCCTGGCATACAATAGGCCCTCCTTCTGTGGCTGCTGGGCTGTGGGAGGTGGTAGCAATGGCCAGACAGAGGTGACACTTAAAGCAAGATGTGGATGATCGGAATTGTGGAAATGTATGTACATGGCAAGCGGGTATCTCATCTCCGTCTTCGGTGTGATTTGAATTTACTTCAAGGTAACTGGAAGAACTGATGCAGTTCCAGCATTCGTAAAAGGAAAAAAAAAAAACCATTTAGAGGAGGCTCTGCCCCATCTGTCTGCCCCACATCCTCTATGTCAAGGACAAAATTGGGAACTCCGTTTGAAACTATCATTGGAAATAGATGTTTGTGAGTGTCACGTTAAATTAACCTGGGGGAAAATCCTGGGAAAGATCTGAGTATTTCATGTGGATTGGTCCCCTGTGCTCTGGCACAGACTGGCTTTAAGTGGAGACAGCTCTAGGCCTCAAAAAATGTCCTACTAATATGTATATCCGGGGCGCCTGGGTGGCTCAGTTGGTTAAGCGACTGCCTTCGGCTCAGGTCATGATCCTGGGGTCCTTGGATCGAGTCCCGCATCGGGCTCCCTGCTCGGCAGGATGCCTGCTTCTGCCTCTGACCCTCCCCCCTCTCATGTGCTCTCTCTCTCTCATTCTCTCTGTCTCAAATAAATAAATAAAATCTTTAAAAAAAAAATATGTATATCCGAAAAGGCAAAGGCATTCTACCCCAGTTAATCTAGACGAGTGCTCTCCAAACGGGCATGCAAACTGTAGATGAAGTGCACAAGATGATCTACTGGGTTGAGAAAAAAAAAAAAAACCCTCAAGCTTGGATTAGTATTTTTATCTTACTCTTTTAAAGTTTCTTTTTGGATGCGTTTATTATGTATCATATAGTAGAACATGTGTCTAACGAATGCGTATGTATACACGGGGGACTCCATTGTTGAAGTGATCAGGGTAAAGATGGTTTAGGTCACTAACAGAACTGTCTTTCTTCTCGCAGACTGCAGTTTTGTACTTGCTCACCAAAGCTAACTTCAGCATGCTCAAAAGGAAGCAGAGCTCCAGGGTGGAGGCCCAGCCGGTTACTGACTTTGGTCCCGATGAATCTCTTTCAGACAATGCTGACATACTCTGGATTAACAAGCCAGTAAGTTTCTTTTTTGAAGAAGGGAGAAGCGCATGCTGATACAAAGGAAATTTGATTCATATAATTCAAAAATCACGTACCTTTGGCTTTGAAATGACTGTTTGAGGTGCAGTAGAATATGGATGAGTCTCAGAGTCTGGAAGTGGAGAATAATTCAGATGAAATAAAGTGGTGTCGCGGGGAGTTATTCACATAGGAAGGTCTGCTAGGTGGTCTGCTCCCACTTTTCCCCCTCCGTGCATGCTGTCCTCAGAGTCACGCCATGCAGCGATAATGCTCCTTCTCAGTCTGAGCCAAAGCTGGAGTCCCAGATGAGTAATCTCTTCTATCATACTTCCTTGACTTAGAGTTCTCAGCATGCATGAATGTGTGAGGTGATCATCAAATGTTTGGAATTAAAGGTCGCTGTCTGAGTTGCAAGTGTTGAGTAAAAGTAAAGGTTAATGAAATAGTGGGTAGTGTCTCTGAAGAATTCCGTCACCTTCTCTGCCTAATGAAGCTGATGAGACCTTGAGGGGAACCCTGGGGTAGATCGTGTAGCAGCCAGAGGGTGGAACAGCATGTTCACGGCTCTCAGAAGCTCAGCCCAACCCCGGAGAGTAGGCGCCCCTTCCGTACGAACTCCCAGCCGAGGCTGAAGCAAGGGAATAAACTGTTCCCCTCGAGCTGATTGTCTTTCCCTTGACCGGGATAAAGGTCATCTGCCCGGGCTCCCTGCCCTTTCCAGTCTTCTCCATCTCATCTGCCCTCCAGACTCCGTGTCCAGCATGCTCAGATTTCCTCCTGCATTTCCATTTCTGTTCACATTGCCCTTCTGCTTTATAGTCGCTGAAACATCTCCCTCACCTACATTTCAAATTAAAATGTGTTAGTTGTACAGTGAGGACTTTTCCTATTCTGGCTCTAACTGCCTGGCCAACTGTTCTTTCCTGGATCTGCACACTGGCCACTTGAGCCTCATCAGCGTCTTCCTGCTCCTCCAAAATGTCCAGCCAGTTCACGTTGCTTCCCTGCCTGGAGGCCTTTCCCAGCCTTTGATGAGTCAGTCCTCCTGACCCATTAAAGGCTGGCTCAGATGTCAGCCCACCCCTGTCGGCCTCTGAACGGTTCCTCATTTGACCCTCTCCACCACACACAGAACGAACCTCTTCTCTTTCCATTTATCCTATTTTACAATTGTATGTAAATAAAAATGTATATTGCATATAAATATAAATGTGTTATGCATATCAGACTGCTAAATAGTGATGAGTCAGAAACGCTTTTAACATTTTTGTGGCCCCAGAGCCCCACAGAATTTCTTATACATAGAAGGTCTGCCATTCCTGATTAGAGAATTTAACAGGATGGAGAATAAAGCATTCACTAACTTCTTAGTGTCCTTCACATATAAGGCTTTTTGAGAACCTCTGAGGAAGGTACCATCATAGATGTAGCCTTGGATGCACTAACTAAAACGATTAATGCTTAGTTAGGATTCTTTCTTTAAATTCAAAATAGATTTATTGTGGAAGAACCCATCTTTTGAAGCTCTTTTGTGTAATTAGATCCTTTGTGTTGGAGATCCAGATGGGGCTAAATTTGCACACTGGTATTTATTGAAGGGCATCCAAATTGCATGAAAAGGACATCAACACTTAAAATGAATTGAGTCATCAGTGACTTACATGATATAGAATTAATGGCCTTATGTCTTCATGCAAACATTGTAACTGTCAGATGAATATTATAACCCACTCACCAGCCTACAAATGTCTGAGTCTCCTCACAGTTCTGACAGTCTTTTTGATTTTTCATCATGGGTGCTTGCTAGTTTGCATAGCTGAGAAGATACCTACCTTGAAACTGTGACATCTTTTTCAGGGGCGGTAGTATAATATTAAAGGATTAACATGACTGCAGATACATCCAACACTGTCAATAAATAACACATTTAAATTATGTTTAAGAATTGTGTACTGATTAATTAGCTAGTAATATTAATTGTGTGGGGGTAGCATTCAGAAGCAATGAATATTTTTTAGCCTAGGTGTTAGTTTTTGTAATAAAATATTATATGTAGGTGATCCTATTTCCTATACATACACACATGTATGTGCACACACGTGCGTATACATGTTTATCTTTTTATTTCTACATCTTTATGTTGAAGTTGAGGAAAATATTCAAACAGCATGTGCATTCCTAGAATTGCGGAAACTTACCTTTTGGAATTTTGGAAAAGCTACCAGGGCTAAATTTGTACAGAATGTTCTCTAAAATAGAGAGGAAAGTCCATTTATTATCTTTTGAAAATGTAGGATGTCAGATTTTGAATATATTTTTTTATACGAGAATGTTACATTTAAGATACAAATGGAAAGAAAATCGGACACATATGAAGTGGTATGTATCAAGTCATTTTTAAAAACATTGGCAATCCAGGAGGATAAGCCATTGTGCTAGCTACCAGGGATGTTACGTTAAGTAAAATATAAGTCTCCAATTCCAGGTGCTCATAGTATATAAAAAGTACAAAAGTGAGGTACTGACCCATGTTTTAATGGGATCGGAATCTCCTTATGTTGTGGCCCGATGCCTTGGAAAGCTCAGAGCTATTGAGGTAGCCTGCCCAGGTTCACAGTGAGCCCTTGGCTCTCATTAACTGCAGGAGCACAGAAAAGTCTCTTAACCTTTCCTTCCTTTCAGCATGTGGAAATTAGGCTGCTTTCAGAATTAAATGATGTAAAATACGTGCAAATATTTAGCACATTATATGCACTTAACAGATACGAGTTTCCTACTCTCTCTTCTCCATGTGGGTGAGATATTTGAATCTCGAGATCATATTTTCCAAATGGTGTGGTTTATAACACAAGTTTAAGATCTCATTTTATGGTGTCAAATGATAACTTTGGACCGATTTTGCAGTGGGTTCACTCTTTGCTGCGCATCTGTGCCATCATCAGCGTCATTTCCGTCTGTATGAACACGCCCATGACCTTCGAACACTACCCTCCTCTTCAGTATGTGACGTTTACTCTGGATACTTTGCTGATGTTTCTCTACACGGCAGAGATGATAGCAAAAATGCACATCCGGGGCATTGTCAAGGTGAGTGTTCTAGAACCAAAATGCCTTGAACATCTAAGTTTAATAGTATTTTCAGAATAATTCCTTTTTTTTTTTTTAAGATTTTATTTATTTATTTGAGAGAGACAGAGATAGCGAGAGCAGGAACACAAGCAGCGGGAGTGGGAGAGGGAGAAACAGGCTTCCCGTGGAGCAGGGAGCCCGATGTAGGGCTCGATCCCAGGACCCTGGGATCATGACCTGAGCTGAAGGCAGCCGCTTAACGACTGAGCCACCCAGGTGCTCCAGAATAATTTTAATCAAACAAAACATCTCTTTATCCATACTGAAGCTTTTAAAAATAGGGCATAACTCCAGAGATTGGTGAAAATATGATGCATAAGAACATTTAAAAAGTGAAATAAATTGTGTAAGACACAAAGCCTTGAGATATCCAGGAAGGAGAGAGATATTCGGACTACAGGCTTCATGGCCAGAATAGGGTCAATTATGCCACCTATGGGTGAACCCATGGCCTGGCACAGTGACTAGCCCAAGCGTGGCACCTGTGGATTTATGGGATGCCCAATAAATGTTACATGATAAAGTTACAATGTGACGATATTCAGGATGTCATTAACCTGAAATGTTCTGAAGATATAATGGGGTGAAAAGAAAGGGCATGAGGTGGAAAGCAGGAGTATAAGAAAAGCAAATGGCACCATTGGGAGACAAGAAATAAATAAAAGAAAAAGGAAAAGAAAGAAAAAGCAAAGAAAGAAAAGTTCTGTCAGAGGATATTCCTTCTATATATTACTAACCTTCACACAGAGGATAAAAATAGGTAGATGATGCTGTCTCTCTGAAATATTTGAAATTATGCTATTTAGGGAGCAGAAGGGACATAAGGGTCTGCAAATGACAGATTAGACTCAAATCCTAGCTCTTTCCTTTACTGGCTGTATCAGCATCTCCAGTTACATAATTTTGATGGAGAAGGGCCTTATTTTGTACTAGGATTTTAAGAATCTAATGAGATGATGCATAACATGGAATTACTTATGGGTCAGTGCATCTCTTTATACATAATTCATTTTGTATTACCCTTAAAAGAGAGGGGTCACAGTCAGTGCATTACTCTTTTTCATTTTTAACCTTTTGAAAACCTTTTTATTATGGAAAATTTTAAGTTTACACAAAAGTAGAGATTATAGTTGTCATGAATCCCTATAACTCAGTATCAACAGTTAGCAATATTTGGCCAGTTCTTTTCATTTTAAAGCAAGTCTGAGAAATCAGGTCATTTCAGAAGTAACTCCTTATGCATTACTGACTGAGAAACTTTCTTTTTAACATAACCATCATGCCATTATTGCATCTGGCAAAATTAACAATTTCTTAACGTATGTCAGTACCCAAGTCATAGACGTAGTTCCCCAATTGTCTCAAACATATCCTTTTATCATAAGTTAGCTTCTTTGAATCAGGACTCCAACAAGCTTCACAAAGTATATTTGTTATATTTTTAAATCTCATTTAAGTCTCTTTATGCCCCTTAATTCTCAACCCCACATATCCTGCAAAAAAAAAAAAAATTCTTGTAATCGATCCATTGGGAAAATGAGACTTGTAGAACATTCTGCATTCTAGATATGGCTAATGCTTCCTGGTGGTTCCATTTTTAGTTTCTATATATTCCATATTCCCTGAACCATTTTGATTTTGACCAGCAATGTACACAGGTGCCTCTTTCCCCAAGTGGTTGCCACAAAATAGTTTGTAAAACTTTTGGATATTTGCCAATCTGATGGGTGAGAAATGATAACTCGATGAAGTTTTAGTTTGAATTTTCCTTTTGAAAGTGCGGTTGAGCCTGATTGTATACAAAGGCCATCTTCAAGTTGTTACTATTTTTCATTCAAGTTTTGGGTACTCTTTGTGTTGGGAATATGAACCCTTTGTGATGTAAATTACATTTACTTTTCCCCTTTTATGATTATCTTTGCTTATGGTTATTCAGGCCACACACACTTCTTCCTATTCCAGATCATAGGCTGTCTTTCCATTCAATCAAGTCCAGTCTTGTGTCTTACAGGAGTGTTTTATACTTCTCCTTATATGCATTTTGCACATTTTTTGTTATATTTATGCTTTGGTATGTTATTTCATCTTTTTGCTATCACTGTGGGGTCTCATCTTCTACTAAGTATTCTAACTTGCTCTTATTCTTTAAATGAAGCCTGTTGATTTTTTATGTTAATATTATTTCCTGCTACTTTACTAAATTTACTAATTTCTTATATTTTTTATGGTAGTTTTTCCATTAATTCTTTTGGTATTTCCATATCATCATAGTATATAAAAATACAGATTTGTCTTTTTATTTCCAATTCTGATGTCTCTAGTTGCTTTCACTTATTTAATTGGGTCAGCTCAATTTTAAATAGTACTAGAGGCAGTGAACATCTTCTTTTAACCCCGGGCTTATTTAGAACATCTCTCACATTTCGTCATTAAATAATTTGAAGGATTAGGGTTTGAAGTATGTATATTTTATCAGGTTAAGAGAACAAACATTTAATTCCAATTTTTTACTGTAATATCAAGAATAGCTTTTAAATTTTGTTGAATGATTATTTTTCTTTTTAGCTCTTGTAATAGGGTAGATTTTCTAATATTGAACCATCCTTACATTCCTAGAAAAAACTGAGTGGGGTCACGACACAGTTTTCTTCTGGTTTAATGTGCTATTTGAGGATATTTGTTATTACTTTCCTCATTTTAATTTTGTCTAATCTTTGTCAGGTTTTGATATTAGATTTTCCATGTATGTGTGTATACTCCTATGCTTTAAAATAGTCTGAATAATCTTTAAATTGTTTTAACTTTATAAGTTTGGTACAAATCTCCTATGAAACCATCTGGTCCTAGTGCTATTTTTTGGTGGGACTCCTATTTCTGTTTCTTTTATGGAAATTGTTCTGTTCAGACTTGCTTGGTCTATGGGATCTGTTTGGTGAAGTATTACTTTCTTAGGAAATTATCCACTATTTAGTTTGTTTAATTTATTAACAGAAGATTGCATACAATAATTATAATTTTCTCTGTTTGATTTATATTTCCTCTGAATTTTGAATTTTTTGTTAGATTAGAGTTTCTTTTGGTTGGGTTGGATAGTATTGTTTATTTATTTTGTTTTGTTTCATTTTGTTTTATCTTTTTTAAGATTGTATTCATTTATTTGAGAGAGAAAACATGAGTGGGGAGGGAAGGGGTGATGGGACAGAGGGAGGGGGACAAGCTTAATCCCAGGACCCTGAGATCATGACCTGAGCCGAAGGCAGACACTTAACTGACTGAGTCACCCAGGTGCCCCTCATTTTGTTTTAGATTAGCCAATTGGTTTACTTATCTTGTTGATTTTTAAAAAGAACTAGCTTATTCATTCATTCTAACTCATTAATTTATGCTTTTAACTTTCTTTTTTTGCTTTATTTGGTTTACTTCTTTTGGTCTATTTCTAGATGTTTGAAGGTGTTTCACATTTTCATTTCTTGAGATTCTTAAATATGTTACTTCATTGCTTCTGGTATAAATGTGGCTGTGAGAATGTTTTTTCCTTCTTTGTGATTTGATCTTTCTCTTAAATACTGAGAGTCTTTCCTTTTATTAGTGAACTCAGTAGATCTATGAGAATATGTCTTTTGTTGACTGTTAAGGGCATAGGTACATCACAGGATATTTATTTTATTCCATTCTGTCTTCAGGGTTTCTCTTATTTTCCAGTTACCCCAGATTATGTTTTGGTCATTTATTTCCATCATTTTCTTTATGTGTGTTTTTTCTTTTTTTTTTTTTCCATTTTTATCTTTCCTATATTCTGTTTCCCTATTGTACTCCCCATGCTGTCTATTCTATCTTGTGTTCCTTTGAGTTTACTTCTCTTTCTAAAATGATTTTTTTTCATTTCTTTCTAATTCTGATTTTTTCCTGAACACTTTTCTGTCTTTTTTCACAGTCTCCTACTATTTAGACATCATTTCCGTACTTCCCTGTTTCCAGTTTTGTAGTACTTTTTAGTATCTATTTTTCTTAATTTCTTTTGATCACTTTGTTATATTGTACTACAGTTTTTATCTGCTTTGTATGTTTATTCTTTGTGTGTCTTATTTTTATACATTATTTGGTTCATTTATATATTTATATGGACTTGATCATATATATTGTAATATATATAATCATAAGTATGATTATAATATATTCATTAGGACTTGATCATAATCCTTTTGTTCTGTTATCTTTCTTGGTATTGCTCATTTGAAATGGGAGTTTCTCCTGCTTAATGAGTAGAGTAGCTTCCATACATTATCAGTTTGAGGGCTCCTTCCCCTGTTGTTACCATGACGTATAAAATATGTAGCTTCTCTGTGTAGCAACCATCCCAGATCTGAGCTCTGCCTCCTCTGGAATGCTGGTCCTCTTATCTAATCCTTCCTATCCTTTGTCCCTCATGTCCCTGCCCTAGCCAATTTGGATTCTACTCCAGGAGTTTTTCTTTAGCTTTGGTCTCTGGTCTACCAGAAAAGGGTTTTTAATCAGGTCCACTTGGGAGATTAGGATGTTCTATTACCTCTGATCTTTCTGCAGCCCCTTGGTGGGCATTTTGCTTTTGTTACTTATTTTTGTTTTGTTCTTTTACTTTGCATTCACCTGCCATTGATAGATTACTGTGTTACATTTCTAAGAATGTTGCCATTTATTCTCAGGTTTACTTTCTGAGGCTTCCACTAAGTGTTTTGCTAGTATTTGTTAGTAGTTTTGGTGCTATGAAATTCTTGGATCAGCCAGAATTTCCCTGCACGCCTTCCTTCTACAACCTCCCCAAGCTAGGGTCTTGAGTGGGTGTTGATATTGTCAATAGTTTGACGTTTATTTTGGAATACATTGTCAGTTAGTTTTATTCAAGACTATGTCCATGGATATGTTTTTCTATGCTATCTCACTTGCTTTGTTTTCTTAGGAAATTTGGGAGATTCGAAAAA